GAGTTGGCTATTCAGTGATGGTTATTGGACGTTGCCAACGGTCACTACGACCATTACTTGCCTACACACAAGAAATGGGGGACAGATGTTGATTTCGTGTATATCGCCCACAACGTGAACAACGAACATTGGGTAGCCGTTGAGGTCGACATTCCCAAAAAAAAGATCCGAGTGTTTGATTGCATTCCAGATTTATACAGAAAAGGCGAGGTGGAGGAGTCTGTGAAGCCCTACGCGAGGATGATTCCGCTGTTGTTGAAACATATGGCACCACCGGAGCTCAAGAAGGGTATGAAGGAGGGGCAGTTTCATATCTACATGTATAAAACAGCGGCACTAAACAGACAGACAGGTGCAATGCAGCTCTGTAGATTTGGTATTTTTATTTGGTAGACTTTTAACTAATTATCGGGTACTTGTTATCAGGTGATTGTGGCGTCTTTACTTTGAAGACCATCGAGTGTTTGGCTTTGTGCCATAAATGGGACCAGCTGAAAGATAGCAACATGCCTCTCATTCGTATGAAATACGCAGCTGAGATTTTTGATGAAGTACATGAAGCAGAAGAATCCCGGATGTCTGATCCTAACCCTCGAAGTTTATTTGATGACAAGTACGGTTTACAGACAGACTCCGCTAACTGAGATCTTGGTTTGGTAGACCTTTGGGATCTGAAATCATTTTTTGGTAGATTTAATACTCAGATCCAAACTAATTGGTAGACTTTTGGTGTCGGATGTTGTATTTTGGCCGATTTATTACTCATAGCCAGCCTCTTTGGTGGTCTTTTGGAATTTAGACGTCGCTTGTGTTTTGGAATTTAAAGCGACTCGCCATGGCTGTAAAAGGAACCTGCTTTGTAGATTTATAACATGATTGGTAGATTTATTGCATGAATGGTAGATTTATAACCTGATTGGTAGATTTATTGCAATATTGGTAGATTTATAACATGATTGGTAGATTTATTCATGAATGGTAGATTTATAACATGATTGGTAGATTTATTGCAATATTGGTAGATTTATAACATGATTGGTAGATTTATTATTGTAAAATAGTAGAGTTTAGATAAAACAAGTTCCAGATTTACAAGTACATAAAACAAGGTTTTCAAGCGGATTATTGCAGTCTATAATAGTACAAATACAAGGTTTTGGATTTGTCAACTAAGCTCGACAAGTTAGGCGATTATGTCCGCCTTGGTCACAGTTACCACATTTGGGGATCTTCCGAGGACGTTTACTCGCCATGGCGGCCTCGAACGCACCCTTAATCCGAATTTTCTTTGGCCTGCCGGGTCGGTTGCGAACATCAGGCGGGAGACAAATTTTGGTTGCTACTTCATCTGGCACAGGGAGTGCTACGTCTCTTGGCATCACACTAACAGCATACGCTTGTTGCAAGTAACTAGTGTGGTAGTAATGATGGCAAAGAGAGATCGGCGACAACTTCCTCCTATCAGCGGCGGCTATGGCATGTACGCAAGGAATTTTATCCAAATCAAACCGTCGACAAGTACATGTTTTCTCCGTTAAATTGACAACATATGCAGATGTGTGCCTAAAACTCTGTACGATGCTGATCAATCTCTTG